CAGCTGCTAATGTTTTGGCACCCTACCATGTATCTGCATAAATGTGAACTGAAGCAAAATCAACACCAAGAACTTTATGGTTTCTAATGAAATCAGTTCCAACTTGTTGAGCATATGTATTTGGATTCAACTGAACTCTATTGGGTGTGGATGGGCCATAAAATCCCTCCAGACCAACCTCCACTAAATGCTTTGGATCCATGCTCTTCACAAACACAGCCATTTCTTGAATCCATCCCTGCAAATCCCCATTCATTAACATCAAATAACAATATTGGTCGCTTACTTATTTGCACGTCTCGTTCTTCTGACGGTGCAAAATGTTGAGGATTGTTGGGAGGGAGTCCCATATTAGTTAATTTAGGGAATGATCATAAGTTTATAAGTAAGGAAATACATCTCCATTGGTATGAGGCCTTCTAGGGAAGCCCAAAGCAAAGCCTGAGCTTATACTCAAAGTGGATAATATCATACTATTGTGGAGATATGTGATTCGTAACACAAAGTGCCTGTTAAAGAAAGCAAACCTGTAGTTTATCGCCCGAAGGATCCGATGTACAACGAGGTTCATTCATTAGTTCCCAGGCGAAAATGGTCGGATCTTCCTTGTACATTACGTTTGTGTATGTGTTCACTCTATTAAGCACCGTCTATATCATTCAGATGGAAGTCAAGAAATATCATTTTCATGCTAACAATAGAAGGTTCAGTAACATATCTTGGGAACTCACCGCAACATGAGCCTTATAGTAGCTTCTGAGAGTTGGATCAGAGAAGAAATCATCATCAGATGTCAAATTGAGGCCAGCAGCTCTTCCCCATTTCACATATTGTGCTTTGCCGCCGTATGCTTCCCAATTGTTTGCTAATGATAATATCAGCCTTATCTTATACTTCTTTGCTTCACTAATCACAAAATCTAATGCCTGAACTACATGAAAAAAGTTAGTTACATCCGGACAAAATAGAACCCGTGATGATAACGCTTAATCATTTTGTTGAAGGCATAAACACGAGTGATTACGTTGAAACACGATTTTCGATGTTTTATTTCAAAATGAACTGTAAGAACTATGATCGCATTGTTTGCAGATCTTAGCCAAGTACCTTGAAGACTTCTTCATCATACACAGATGGAGATTTTTGAAGAGCTCTCCACTGGCCATCATTGAAGGCCCAAGTCCTGCAAACTGTTAATCCCACAGAAGCAGCTTGTTTAAACAATTCTGTGACCTTTCCTCTTGTGGATTGATCCGCTGCAAATACCATCAACCAGTAAGTGTTGAAACCATTAACATAGAACGGTTGGCCATCTACTACAAATTGGTTCTGTCTTGTCTCCACCATACTCCAAGCATCATTCTTCTTTTGAACCACTCCATCAAACCTATATTGATGAACCCAAGAAAAACAAGTGCATTTAAACCTTATTTTGATCATGAACTTCCATATAAAATCATGTCTAGTTCTATGGAACAAAAATCTACGTTCAAATCGAATGACTGTCATGTTTGGAAGTGAGAAGTGATATTGAAATGGTAAAAAATCATATTTGTCATGTTCAAAACACTTCGAAATATGCTTTTAATCCTTCGAAAATCAAATTTGATCGTACAAAAATTGTGTTTTAAAGTGTAAAACCAAATACTAAATTGATTTTAAAGATAAGAATCATGTTTTGGAGTGATTTCGAACCTAAACAAAGTGATTTTAAGCACTCACTTTCAAACATGTCCTACTTGTAGGCTCTTTAAACGAGAATATGATACAACAATAAAGGCGAAAAGACATAAATAATACTTACCCGTTACTCATGTCCGAGTACGTGAAATGATTCTCAGGGACATCCTCAACTGAGAAATCAAATTGCTGATCATCTCCATCCCCATCACCTTCAACAAAGGATGAAACTGTATGCTCAACAGAGAAGATAAAAACTGCTATCAGACCAATGAGTATTAAACTGAGCAATGTGGAATGAGCAGCCATTGTTTTGACTTCTCACTGAGAAATCCAGCACACGTTTGGACCACCATTTTCGAGCTATATATACAAATCCTGCAGCTAAAGCAACATTAGACGCAACAAAGAATTTCAGGAAAGAGTTAAACAGCTCCAAATCTTTGAAGGCAAGGCAAATTAGATAATGATATCCACCTTTCTTCGTATCTTTCAGTTTCAGAGATGGCAATGGCCGTAAGAGTAAAGATGCAAATGCTATCACTTCTAAGCTACGTCCCTCTACGAAACTGGAAGAACATACACAGAGGAAAGGAGTTAAAAGGTTACCGCCATTGATTGTTCATTTGAAGCATGAAAAGGAATTTGTCGTTACTGTAGTTAGTGGTATGAACAGTGAAGGCATTGTTCTGAGTGGGACAGAACAACGAAGTGGTACGAAGCAGAGCGATGAGTCGGAGCCGCTGAAAATCACTGCTCCGCTTCTCTTCTTTTTCTTCAATTTCCTCTCATTAAATGCAGCTCTCTTCGCTCCCCAACTTCGCACCAGATTCATTCATCCATTCGAAATCTCTCCTAGGGTTACGATTTCGATTTCTCTGTCTTTAAGGCGAAGAATGCAGCGGAGCGCGGTTCGTTCTCGAGGAAGAACTACCACGATCCGCCAACGGCGCCGCTCATCGACGGCGTGGAGATTACGAAGTGGACGTTTTACAGAGCTCTGATTGCGGAGTTCAAGCCACTCTGCTTTTCCTCTACGTCATTGTGTTGACGGTGATCGGTTACAGATTGCAATTCGATAGTGTCTGCAATATGGATGTGGATCCAGGAGGTGGAGTTGGGATTCTCGGCGTTGCTTGAGCGTTTGGAGGAATGATCTACGTTATTGTTTACTGGACTGGAATTTCAGGTTATTGTTTACTGGACTGGAATTTCAGGTTCTTCTTCCTCTCTCTTCGGCTTAAAGTTGAAGCTTGAACTTCTTTTTCTCATTTTCTCCGACAAAAGGAGATTTTTCTTTCATTTTCTCCGCTTCCAAGCATACAAATTTCCACGCTGCGTCTATGATATTATCCTGCACGTTGTTTTGGCGCGTAACCCTCAAAACCGTGGTAAACCTTTCTCAGCGGAGTTGGGATCGTTAAGGCCATCCACAAGCACCGCCGGCGGCCGCGTCCATGGGCCCATGGATAACTACACGTTAGGCATCGGGCTACCCGCCGTGATCGTCGGCACGTTTATGTTGGTGTACACCACCTTCTCGGCCACCGATCCTAAATGAAACTAGGATATCAAGAAAATGAATAGTTTAGTCTCTAAACTTCAAAATTTATGTTCAATAGAATAAATACATAGACTATATCTCTAAACTTGTAATTTTTGTTGAAATTAATCGATTTAGGTATGCAAAAATTAAAGAAAAAAAAATTAATCTCATTCGAGCACAATTCAATGTCATGTCTGACAAATTTATTAATTTAAAAGAATGTTGAACAGGTTCGAAATCTATTACTCAAAATTGAAAGTATTGCATTTCATAAGAACATAGTTCATAGCTCAGTCTTCAGTACTCTTTTCCTTGAGTTATCAACCAACTTGTTGTTTGTTTCCAAGGAAACTTGTATTCCTACCAGCAAAATCATTCCTCTAACCTACATGTCAAAGTGATCTTCCATGAGCTTAAACCAGCAACAAAACATGATCTTTTCCTTTATTTTCCACTTTACCAAGATAGCAAAAACAAATTCTTTTGAAGTTCTATTAAGTTTCTTTTTATTGAAAGAATAATAAAGTGGGTTCATGTTGTTGAGCACCAACTCCCAACCCGAGGTCGACCTGACCTGTTGGGATATGGAGCCTGATGCCTAGATCTAGTATAGAGATATATATGGTAAAGATTTGGTAAAGATTTGATAGAGATATATTTATATCTCGTTTAAATTGAAACCATATATATACCCCATAGGCAGGGATCTCAGAATGTACTTCTCTCCATTCTTTGTTGTTGAATATAAAACCTTTAGCCAATATTCATCTTGATCGAGTGTGTGCGTTGTTGAGCGATCCTAATAATTGGTATCAGAGCTAACAACTGGTATCGATCCTAACAAGACCAGCATGAACAATTTAGCTTTCTGGGTCGGTTCTTATTTTTATTCTCATCTTTCCGTTTTCTTGTTGAGCTATGTTCATTTGGTAGAAAAAAGAATAAAATAACGTTAAAACTAGGAGCTAAAAAAAGTGCCTATTTATCTATATATTGGGTTATATTCCCTTTATTTGAATTATATCTTTGAAGTTTCTTCATCTTCCTGTTTCTTTTCACCTTGAAGGAAATTATAATCATCCACCTTCTTTTTCCCATCTTTGTGAAGTTTTTTCTATTTCTGGTGATAAGTTAAAGAAAGAAAAAGAGAAAAAAAACCATACTCAGAAGCACAAATTCATTCCCAAGAGACAAAATAAAGAAACAAAAGTGAAAAAATCATCTAATATACTACAAAAGCTAAATGATTAGTTCAAACTTAAAAGCAAAGATGACCAATTGGTTCACTCTTTATTAAGCCTTCCACTCAACAATGAACTAAAAATTCCAAACTCTTCTGACATGGCTAGTCCCCACACCAATCTTCTTTTCCTTTCTTGTTTATTCTAATTATTCTTTACCTATTTTTCCTCACATAGTCCGAAATTTTCAACTACAACTAACCATGAACCTGTTTCACCTGAGTTCAGAATTCTAAGGCACGCCTACATCATTGCATTAAATCATGTTCCTTTACTCACAATATTTTTCCTTTTGCTTTCTCGGTCAGGCCTTAGGACACAGACATTGTATTAAAGTAGCCCTACAAGAGGCGTTATGGCTAAGTAGTTCAGTGAGTTTCAAACTTTTTCAGCTCTATATAAACTCATCTTCTTTAATGAAGTGTAAAGAGTAAGTGAACAAGTGCGTTACTTACAGGATTTGGAGGAAAAATGGCACCCATCACCACCATCTTGTCTTTTCTCTTCTCTTCTCTGTCCTTTTTGTCTGATCCTTGGCCTGAAGCATTCTATGGTCACCCTCTTGATAACTCGGCGCAGTTGTTGCTCCTCGGGTATGCTACTTTCCATACCGAGCCTGCAGTCGTGTTATAATTTGCATTGACAAGATTGTCTGCAAATCAAACTGTTCGTCTTCTTCAAAGTTTGCAGCAAGATCTGCTCTCAAGTTCAGTCTGCAATCTGCATGACATCTTTAACCTTTTCTGTTGAAGATGAAGACTGTTGCAGATATTTAATAGTATTTTCATAGTTTTCTTCTGTTAAGAATTTGTGACTAAAAACTTTCAACTGCAATGGTGATTGCGGTACTGAAGTTCAAAACCTAGTTAAAAACAAAATCATTTGCTCCCCCAGAATTGGACCATGTTACCAAAACTTCCAACATTAGAGATGCAAGGATTGTAACGTAAATATAATCAGCTCAAACATTTAGAGTTCTATTTCTATGATATAGTCCGTTTTTCCTGGTATGAAATTTGCTTCCAGGTGTTGATCAAAAGCATGCAATCAAGATGTTCTTGTTTTTCAATTTATTTAAGCATATATGTTGCTTGATCTAATTTTGTCCCGCAACGAGAAAAGAAAAGGACAAAGTAAGGGAAATAGTTAACAAGAAGAGTATTCTAATTTATGATGAGAGCCATTCAACGAATTTGATGTCTTGGGGGTAATTAATTGCTCACAAAATTGGTGAATGTAACTTTCACACATTATGTAAGGAATGTGATACACATAACGACCCCTTTTACACACTGATTTACTTGGGCCATCTCTCATTATCCTCCCTCTCTCAGTTTTGGTAGGGCCCAAGCAGTTCTAAATCACCAAAGTAACAGAACAGCGTTGTCTAACAACTATAGACTGCATATTTAGAACATTTATGTAACTTTCGGTTCAATTAATTTTGGTCAAGTTCCATCATACTCTTTAACTACTATCCAATAACAAACACAAAAGAGAACAAGGTCCCACCCTGGTCTAACAGAAGACAATGTGCTTTGGAAACTGTCCACAAAAACTTGAGAAAAAATAAAACCAATTCAGATTTTCAAGAAATGCCTTTACCTTGCTAGGATAGAATTTGCTCCCCCCAAGAAGTGCAGGCCGCTCTCTCAATGATGCCTAGGAGTTGGTGTCCTCAGATTCCCTAGCCCAAGCAGGGAAAGGGAAAAGGAAGAAAGAATTTTTTTTAATTAAAAATAAATAAATAATATATTGTTCTAATAAAAAATAAATGTTACGTAAGCTTTTATGCTAGTAATTATTGGAAAACTTAATGGAAGGATCAAAATGGAACTAAATGCAAACTTCAAGAGCAAAATTGTTAGAGTTTGAAAACTCAGTAACTCAAATGCAAGCTAACACAATCCTCAAGGACTATAAGCGAAATTTTTCCAAAAAAGATATTAGTCTTAGAGGCATATTAAATATGACATTGAAAGTTTAAATACCCATCCACCATATTTTTTACTATCAAAGACCACATTTTATATTTCTTGTAAAAAATTAAAACTTAAAAGTTACCGAACACTTCAAAGCGCAGATTGATTCACAAAAGACCAGATCAAAATAAAAGAGTGACAAAGCACCTTATAATCTAGAAGTGGAAAATGCATAATTTAGGCGTTGAAACAAAGATTACCTTCAACTGGCTCATCATTCCACAGCCAGCTTCCGACATTTGATTCTTTATTTAGCCTTTCACTTAACAACGAACTACAGGAGTCCAAATATCTATGACATGACTGGTCCCATTCCCAGTCTTCTTTTTTCCTTTCTTGTTTGTTGTGATTCTTCTTTTTCTTTTCTCCCCAATAATCCCAAAATATTCAAGTACAAGCAACCACTACTATGCTTCACTTGAGTTTGGAATTCTAGCATTATATCAAACTCCTTCCAAACACAAAATATTATTCCTCCTGCTTTCTGGGTCAGGGCATAGGACCCAGAGGTTTAGTGAAAGTAACTCATCATTAAGGTTTATAACTAGATATTTCAGTGAGCTTCAATCTCCTTCAGCTCTATATAAACTCGCCCACTCCAGAGAAGTATAAAGAATAAGTGAAACAACTGCATTAACTTGCAGCACTTTGGAAAAAAAATGGCACCCATCTCCACTATCTTGTCTTTTCTCAGCTCTTCTTTCTCCTTTTTTTCTGATCCTTGGCCTGAGGCATTCTATGGCCTTCCCCATGACAACTCCCTGCAAATTTCGGTCCTTGGGTTCGCAATTTATGAGACGGATACTGCATACATGTCATAATGTGTATCTCAAGATTGTTTCCAAACCAAGCAGCTCGCAGCAAGTTCCGCTCAGGCTCGATCTGTTGAAGATGGAGACTCATGCACATGAATAAGTAATATGGTATTTCCATAGTTTTCCTCTGTTAAGAATTTGTAAAGAAACTTTGATATGTATTAGTCTATTGCAGTACTGAAGATCAAAACCTCGGTAAAAACAAATCAATTTGCTTGACATAAACTTTCAAGATTCTAATTCTAGGATATAGCCCGTTTTTCCTTGCACGAAATTTTTTTCCAGGGGTTCAGCAAATTCATGTAACTAACGCAGGAAAGGAGGAAAAAGACTGCAAAACAAAAGGATAAAAGTAAGGGAAATGGTTAACAATAAGAGCATTCTAATTAAGGTGAGAGACCATTGAACAGATTGTATGCTTGGGGGAAATAATTGACCAAAAAACGATTAAGGAAAGGAATTTGATATTCATAATTACTCCATCCTCCAGACTATAAAAGGAGACTTCTGTTTGTTCTTGGAGATTAATCATTTTTGTCTACATTTGTGTTAAATACATACGGCGAATTTGGGAGATTAATTTCAAAACAGTTTTCTATTTTTGTCTATAAAACTGATTCTAAGATCCAATATCAATAGAAGATTATACTACATTTGAAACCATTATGTACAGCATTAAATCTTAAAAGCAATAACAAGTTCTGTTCTCCACGAAAAAAGATATGTTCTAAACATTCAATTGAATTTTTGTCCCAAAAATTAGAACTAATTCGATGTGAGAGGCAATAATACTGGTTCACATCCTGAAGTTACCTTTCACATAAGCAGTAAGCCATTGGTTGACTTGATCTATGTCTAGCAGAGAAAAAACCAAAGAGAAAAGGAAGCCTGTAAGTGGAGATGGAAGATTGAACGATTGGAGAAGGATCTCACCCGACTTGGAAACATAGGCCACCATAGAAGTGTAGCCCAAGAAAACATAGGCAATAGTGGCTAGGGTTCCAAAGTCCCCCAGAGTCTCCTGCGCCATAGTTCTGACTGAAATCGCCCCTATCCCCGTCTCTCCTCTTCGTTTTCCCGCTTTTTTGCTCGTAGCAGAAAAACCAACGGTTGTATCTGAAACACCAAGCAAAACTCAAGATTCACCCAAGAAAGACGTGAAAACACGCTAAATTGATGGATTAAATAGAGGAAAAAGAAGCATAATCAAATCCAAGCACGTTACCTCTTTGATCTTTCGCCCATTCGGCAATTTTGTAGAGAGGTCCTTGAACATGGGGACGGCAATGGCGACCGTGAAAGAACTTGCAGGCATCGACCGTGGGTTTTAGGGCACAATAAAGTGGAAGAAATGATGACGGGAGTGTAAATTCATGGAAGCCAAATGCAGAGGCGAAGAAGGTGACTCTAAAAGTTTCCAAATATGGTGGAGAAGATTCCATGGGGTCCAATTTCAAAAGATTCTAAAATTCCAGAATCGGGAATATTCCTTCAGAACCAAACATAGGCCTTCGGGCCATTTATTGGGCTGAATCTAACCATGGGCCTTTATCATGACCTCGCCTAACCCAATTCTTTAATTGGGCCCAACATGTAAGGCCCGGCCCATCTAATTCTTACCAAACTCTCCATCTATCTTTCTTTTCCATTTTTTTTTAATCTTTTAATTCAAAAACTAATATTCATATTTCATTGTATTTGTAAATTTAATATTATAAAAATAAAAAATTAAATGATTATAATGAGACTGAGTTATTATATATTAATTTATATAATTATTTTTTAAGTCAAAAAAAGATGATGCTGGACATGGATGTAATGGACTTAGGCTAATCAACGATTAGTGCTAATTGAAATAATTAATCAAAATCCCATCATCAAACTAAGTAACTTCTAAGTGACATTTTTAAAACCAAACCCATTTAACATATGACCAATCATTAATTTAATTTCAATTTAAAACATGATTAAACTTGGTTTTCAACAATCAACGCCACTAAAAAGGGTATGATAATCACATTGCTTAATTTCCTTTAACTTGTTCTTCACGTGTCTTAGGTGTTTGTTGCACACACTGTAAATTTGAAGTCAACGAGAGCGAATAGTGTAGTAAATGCTTTTTTGCGTCCGATCATAAAGGTTGACTGCGACTTTTTACTATTTCCTTCAAAGAATTGAGGGTAATAGAGAAACAAACTAGGTCTGACGTCCCACATTGGTTGGGAGGAGAACAAACCATCATTTATAAGGGTGTGGAAACCTTCCCCTAATAGATGCGTTTTAAAGCCTTGAGGGGAAGTCCGAAAGGGAAAGTCTAAAGAGGACAATATCTGGTAGCGGTGGATCTGGACGGTTACAAATGGTATCAAAACCAGACATCTGACGACGTGTCAATCTTCTCGCTGTTCCCTGAAGGGGGTAGACACGAAGTGGTGTGCCAGTAAGGATGGTGGCCCTAAACGGGGTGGATTTGGGGGCGCGGTCCCACATTAATTGGAGGAAGGAAAGAGTGTTAGCTGGACCTGGGCCCTGAAGGGAGGGTGAATCGTGATGTCTCGCATTGGTTGGGGAGGAGAACAAACCCCCCAAACTAGGAGCGTTCATGCACGCCTTATTTAAAAACGGCACCTCAACATCAACCTCATGTTGTGTACGAGATGAGTCGAAAAAGGCAAACATAATTTATTCTCACAATCTGTTTGGACTCAACGTGGTGATATCAGGAATTTTGATAAGTCAATGAACTTTATTTTTTATATCCAACAAAAATTTTTAATTTTAATTTTGTATCAAATATATAATTAAAATTTTAATATTGTGTCTATTAAACTTGAATTTATTCGATATTTATTAAAATTAAAAATGCAGTGTTTAAATAGTTACATAATTTAAATTTTAAAAAAAGGTTAAATATACGATAAATCTATTATAGAAAAAAAAAATTAGTAACTTATTAAATATAAAACCGAAAATTTAAGAATCTTGTGAGCATTTTAATAAACATAAATAAATATAAGGATTAAATTGGTAATTTAATCGAAATAAATAAATAAATAATAAATGAGATAATGGAGGGTAGTTTGGTCATAAGGAAATTTTGATTTTTTTTGTTTTTTTCCTCGATTAATACGAGACGAAAGCTAGCGTAGTGCGCATCCACTCTGTTGTTCTTCGCCGACGGTGTTTTCGTAGTTGATAAAACCGGACCCACACGTAACGGCAAGAAAGAACCGCGCCAAAGAACTAAAAATAACGGACTTTTTGGTAATTTTACCGTCCATCACGGACAAACAAGAAATGACTAATTTAGACCGTCCGATCACGACTCAGACATGACAGCTGCCGTCGATGATCAATCGGTCGTGCATAATGGCAAAAAATAAATCACAACGAATGAAACGGCGCCGTATTGCAGGTTGAGACTAGTTTTCTTGTATAAATGAAAATAAAAGAGCCGGTGCTCTGCAACTGCAGCAGGTTTCTTCTTTCATCTTCGTCTTCCTCCTCTGTCTCTGTTTCGTTTCAGTTTCTTCTTCTTGTTCTGTTCATTCCATTTTTGTACTTCATTCCTTGTGATTCTTGCTCGTAATGTTGCTTTTTGTGCTATAGACTCGTAGCTCACCTCCTTTGGGAGTGAAAAAAGTCAGAGAAAGGGGCTATCGGCTTTCTCCTCCAGTACTGTACTTTGGAGTTGCGAAGGAAGGTCGACTTTCTGAAAGGACGATCGATTTCTGGATAGCGATAATCGAAACACCTGTTTTTGCTAGCGGAGTGATTTGAAAGATCAATCGGTTAGTTGAGCGTTATTGTCAAGACGACGTGACTGTTTTTTTTTTTTTTAATTTTCTTTTATTGTTCTTTTAATTCCTTCGGAATATTGCGGTTGTATTGTTTTGATTTCGTCTTGAGGAGTTTATAGTGTTTCTCAATCGGAGATTTAAAGCGGAAGTTAAATCTTGTTTTTCTGGACGTTGGAGTGTTGCTTGAGTTGTTCTGCTTGAGCTGCGAAAACGATTTTTCTAGGTTTGGTGAGGTTTCGTGACGGAGTTTTGTTGTTTGGAGGACTGTGAGAAATGAGAACGGAATGATCTTTGAAAAGCAGACCGAATACTGAACGCTATTTTTCTTGTTGTTAGTTTGTTTGATCCTGGAAGCACGGATTTCCTGGCTGTTGACTGATTTTAGCTGTGAAATCGAGTCGTTAGGAAATGCAGGAGCCAAGTATAGATACCGATAAGCTTAGTTATGAAATCTTCTCGATTCTTGAGAGCAATTTTCTCTTTGGCTATGAGGATCAGAAGCTATGGATTCCCAAGCAGATACCTCCCTCTGTTGAAGGCAAACTGATATCCGATACCGGAAGTACTCAAGCGTACGCTCAACAAGAAGCAAGTCGTGACGCTTCGTCTATAAGAAACCAGAGGGGCAAGGTCTGCATACTGAGCATCGATGGCGGAGGTATGGGAGGGATTCTCTCAGGTAAGGCTCTGGCTTACCTCGAACAGGCGCTCAAGTCGAAATCGGGAAATCCTGACGCCAGAATAGCCGATTATTTCGACGTTGCTGCCGGAGCCGGCGTAGGAGGCATTTTCACTGCGATGCTTTTTGCAACTAAAGACCATATTCGGCCGATATATAAGGCAGAGGATACTTGGAGATTCTTGGCAGATCAAGGCCAGCGGTTCTACCGCCGCTCGACTTCTAGTTCGGGCGGAGGTTTGTTTGGGCGGTTGCTCAAAATCAACTGTACCAATTCCACCAGTTCACCCACCGCCGCTTTAGAAAAAGCGATGAAAGAGGCATTCACTGATAAGGGACGGAGTTTAACCCTTAAAGATACTCTGAAACCAGTATTGGTACCTTGTTACGACCTGTCAACAACGGCACCATTTTTGTTCTCGCGAGCCGACGCCCTAGAGAAGGATAGCTTCAACTTCCGTCTCTGGGAGGTTTGCAGAGCAACATCGGCCGAACCGGCTATATTTGAACCGGTAACATTGAGGTCGGTCGACAACCAAACCAAGTGTCTGGCCATGGACGGCGGTTTGGGGATGAGCAACCCGACGGCGGCCGCAATTACTCATGTACTACACAACAAACAAGAGTTTCCTTTCGTGCGAGGAGTTGAGGACCTTCTGGTTCTGTCCTTAGGAACCGGCCAGCCGTTGGAGGCTCGCCGCGATTACCGTCAGGTCAAAAGGTGGAAGGAGAAGGAGTGGATTCGGCCCATGAATCGAATCTCTGGTGAGGCCTCGGCCGACATGGTGGACCAGGCCGTCGCCATGGCATTCGGTCAGTCCAGGAGCTCTAATTACGTGAGGATTCAGGTACAACAATCTGCCACGTGCACAACTGCACACTAATCCTATTTCCAAGAACTTTCGTTTCTTTATTAGTCATGCCTCGCATTTTTAAATGAAAACATTCTCTTATAACAATAATTACGACAACAAATGCATCAATTTTAACCATGAAGTCTACATCGGAGGATATTTCAATCGCATACGCATAATTCATTACTTTCTTACCAATCAGGAATTAAATATTGTCATTCTAGGGTGAAGTAGAGATGGGTTTATTAGTTATTGCAAAGTTACAAAGATTTTCGTTTAGTTGGGACATAATTTAGGTGTTTCTTGGGTCGACTAGGCGTTCTGCAAGCAGAAAAGTCAATAGGAACCTATGTGGTTTTGCTACACATATTGATGATTACTTATGGCATATAAGGACCCTCTGGCCCACTTTCCTGTTTTGCCTTTCATTCTGTATAATCAACACCCACTTTGAACAGATTCTGAATTTCCACCCATCTAATTGTTCTTGAGAAAAGTTTACTTCCACGATAATAGTAATGTGATAAACAAGTCCATTGCCTAACCAGGCTTTGTAGCTAACCTAACATCGAATAATCTTTTTGCAAGTTTCCTCAAAAGGAGGAAATATAGCTGTTCGTGCGGGTAGGGATGTAAATGCTGCGGGGGGAAAGGGTATGGGTTTGATAAAAAGCTGACCACAAGTTTGTTAAGTGGCTAGTGGTGCATTATATACAAAACGGTACTTTACTTTTTGTTTTGCTACTATTGCGGGGTCCATGTATGATGTATCAGAAATTGATCCTTTTTTCTTGCCACTGTTCAACCAAGCTATCACTATAAACACCATAAAGCCTGTGTAGGTAATACTATGAGGGGCAATTCTGCCTTCTTCTCTGGAATTGGGGAAGTTTTCTGGTCCTGTTGTAATATGAAGTCTTTTTCTGTTGTTGGAATATTCTCTCTTCCTCTTTTTTCCTTTTTCATAATAATACGAACAGTTATCGGTAAAAAGTTACAATTATAATTTCATTTCCAGAGGACCCACTTTATGGTTCTTTGTAGCTTTAACTCTAAGTATTAAGAGGGCTATGAACTTCATAGTCTTTGTAGCTTTAACTTTAAGTTCT